TATCTAGTCCCAGTCTCTCTTTTAAACTCCAGTCCCACAACACAAATTGCTTATTGGATATTTTGAATTAGATGTTCCACAGACATCTCCTGACTCAACACGTTCAAATCATATCCATTATGTGTAAGAAAACTGGATCTTCATGTCTTATTTAGCTCTTTGTTCCTCTTTGGAGACTAAGCCCCATACAGCACAATCTGGAGGGATTGCGTGTGTGTGTGGGGGGGGGCAGGGTGTAGAGTGGGAGAGGGTATTGGTACTTGTCAAAAAACACTACTACATTGGGAGTCTAGAGACCTGGAATCTAGTCCTGACTTTATCACTAATTGGCTGTATTGTTCAGTTGTTTTTTCAGTCAAGTCTGACTCTGTGACCCCATCTGGGGTTTTTTGGGCAAAGATACTATGGTGATTTGCCATATCCTCCTCCAGCTCATTTTACAGATGCAATAACTGAGACAAACAGGGCTAGGTGACTTGCTTAGATCACACAGCTAGTGAGTGTCTGAGGGCAGATTTGAACTCAGGAAGATGAGGAGTCTTCCTAACTCCACTCTATCCTGCTGCTCTTTAACTGGCTGTTACCATATAAATCTCTTCCTTCAAGCCCTCAGTTTTTTCCTCCGTAAAAAGACGAGGTTGCTTCTTAAGCAATTACATGCTTCAGGAGAGACACCCTTTACCCCAGAAGGAGGGAGACAGGCCCCAAGGATAATCACTTACCTCCTTATGGAAGGTGATGGCTTCACTGAAATTTCCTAGGAGGTACTGGGTGTTGCCGAGGTTCCCATAGGCCCGGCCCTGGGCAGCCCGGTCTCCCAGCTCCTTCACCAGAGACAGGTTCCGCCTGTGGGATCCCAAGAATCAATCTGAGTAATCATTCCTGCTCATAGTGTTGAAAGCCAGTGGCCTAGCCTCCCCTCCGAAGATGTGAGGTTTTCTTATTGCCCCAGCTCCCAAGTGACCTCCCATAGAAAAGCGTGAGCCCAAAAGGAAGGAGACTTAAGAGGGGAGAAAGGTAGCTATGTTTTGGCTGGAGCTGATGAGGTGCATCCCCAGTGGCTACTCACTCATAGAATTCTGAAGCTTTCTGCAGTGTCTCCCTGACATCCAGGGGCAGGTGGCCAGGGTCCTGGGCAGAGTTCCAGGACAGCTGCTTCCCCTTGGCATGATACACATTGCCGATGTTGTATAGGGCCCTTGCTTCCCCCACCTGTAGAGGTAGAAACCATTTAGGAAAAAACACCTTCCTGCAAGGAAAGAACTAACTACTTCATACTTTGAGCTCCTCACAAAAATGCGTTTTTAATAGGGTAGACTATATATTTAAGTCTAATAAATTATAAAGAATGAGATACTTGTGGTCTGACCTAGAATTTTGTACCAGATTAATTTAGCACAGTCTAGTATTGATTATACACATGACAGCAAGTTGGGCTTTTATGTTAGCGTTATCTTTATTGCCCCATTTTGCTTATGTCCTGGGCTGGTCATCTCTATTCACTCTTTTATCTAGTCCAGCAGCAGCTGAGAGTAAAGCCTTTGAAACCAAATTTCCCCTGATTCCAGAGAAGGGGATATAGGACCCCAAGGAAACTGAAAGAGAAAGTAGGAAATTCTGCCTACATCACTGCTTCTTTATTTAGGCATGAGTTGCTTCCCCTTAGTAGAATATAAACTCCTTGAGGATAGGGACTGTTTCCTTTTTGTCTTGGTATCCATAGTGCCTGACACATATTAGGAGCTTAGTAAATCTTGGTGGAACTGAAGTGATGCTTGCTGTCAGTCCTTTGAATGGACTGGGTAGTAGAGGGCAGTGAAGTAGACAGAATGAGGAAGCTGGGGACTGATTCACAATATGCCTTCATTCTTTAAGGCTGAAAGTTTGTGAAATCTGAGTGTCTGACACATCCATATTCAAATGTCGAGCCTGTATGTGGCTATATTCTTGAGTCAAAAAGGATTTTTAAAAAATTATTCAAATTTTTTGATTATTTCTATCTATGTATCTATAGACAATTGGGCATTGAACAAAACAAGGCCCCTGAATTTGTGAATGAAATGTCACCCCTCAATTGGTGTGAACATAGACTGGATTAGGAAAGCCGGAAGTAGTCACCTTGGAAGGGGGGGTGGTCTAGGGAGATGGGGGTGGGAAGAGAGAGCTGGATATGGAGAGCTGCTAGAAAAGTTCTGTCTTCCTGAGGAATGTATGTCTTTGGGCTCTTACCTTGTCACCCTGCTCCTGGGAAATATCCAGGTGTCTCTGGCAGCAGACGATAGCTTCCTCAAAACGGCCCAAGATTTTGAGGGTGTTGCCCAAGTTACCACTGGCCTTAGCTTCCCCAATGCGGTCCCCAATAGTTCTGGGGGAATGGAGGTAGGAAAACAGTAGATTAGCTCAGCTGGAAGGATCTAGAGCAGAAGTTGGGGCCTTTAGGCTCAGATGACCTTCTCCCCTCCCCCCCCCAGGCCCTCAGCACAGTAGCTCAACCCCTTAGCCAGCCTGAAATAGAAACTTTGACTTTGGTCCTAAAAAGAACCACTTTCTTGACCTCCTTGAACTCACCCTATGCCTATCAGAACAACTAGAAGCCTGTAATTCTGGTGGTCAGTGTCTGAATTCCTTGAGAACACAGCTCAGACACAGCCTGGTTTGTCTGTGCAAAGAATTTAGGCTTTAGCAGATTTTGATACTCCCAGGTTTAGCCAACCAAAGACTGAACATAGGACAGGGGAATCCCCACCAGGGAGCATAATGCTGTTTCTACAAGAAGATTCATGCTTGTTGGCAAGGTAAGATATAAAATAACGTATAAACACCATTTATCTAAATCAGGAAGCTGCTGCCAACCAGAGCTCCCACCTGAAGCCTTTTAAGGCAACTGGCATCTCCAACCTCTAGGGAAACAAGTTTCACAAATCCTTGCTGGATGAGCCAACTCATCCCCAAGCTACCTCTTTAGGGAACCTCTAAGAGGGATACCTAGTCCTAACAAATCCCCTTTCTCCTTCTCCATACCTTCTATGATTTAAAAGATGTTACTCTTGTCCTCTCTCAACATTTCCAACCTCAAACACTTACAAGCTGTAGGACCCTGGGCAAGTTACATAACCTGATTGCCTCAGTTTCCTCAACTGTAAAAATAAGGATAATAACACCACCTATCTTCCAGGGTTGTTGTGAAGATCAAATGAGAAAGTATTTGTAAAGTGCTTTAGCATAGTGCCTGGCACATAGTAGGCACTTTATAAATGCTTATTTCCTTTGTTAGACACAAAGAGGCCTAGGGTTCAGTTCAACTCAATGAGTATTTACTAAGTAAGTAAATGAATGAATGAAAAGGGCATTTATTAAACACATACTATGTGCTAGGCACTGTGATAAGTGCTGGGTATACAAAGCTAGAAAATGAACAGCACTTCCCTTCAAGAAGCTTACATTCTGTTGGGGGGTGGGATATAATATATAGACAGAGAAGTAAATTCAAAGTACTACTTTATATATATTTTGGAGGCAGGTTTTGCAAGGATCTGAAAGGAAGAAAGTATGACCCTGTTGTCAATGATTGCTGATCTGCTAACATGACAGAAAAGGAAAATGACAAATGAGGGGAATGTGGAAAAATAGGGACATTGATGCATTGTTGGTGGAGTTATGAACTGGTCCAACTATTCTGGAAAACAATTTGGAACTATGACCAAAGGGCTATAAAATTGTGCATACCCTTTGACCCAGCAATACCACTACTAGGTCTGTATCACAAAGAGATTAAAAAAAGGAAAAGGACCTATATGTAAAAAATATTCATAGCAGCTCTTTTTTATAACAAAGAATTGGAAATTGAAGGGATGCCCATTAATTGGGGAATGGCTGAACAAATTATAGTATATGATTGTGATGGAATAATGTTGTGCTACAAGAAATGAGGAGGATGGTCTCAAAAAAACCTGGGAAGACCTATATGAATTGATGCAAAGTGAAGTGAACAGACCAGGAGATCATTGTGCACAGTAGTAGCAATATTGTAATAATTGTGAAAGATTTAGCTCTGATCAAGACAATGATCTAAGACATTTCTGAAGGACTCCAGAAAGAGCTGATGAACTCTGAGTGCAAATTATAGTATAATATTTTCACTTTCTTTACTTTTCTTGCTTTTTTGGCAACATTTATGCAAAATATCAAAATATATTTTGCATGATTTCATATGTATAACTGATATATTACTTGTCTTCTCAAAGGGTGGGGGAGGGGCTGAAGGGAAGGAGAGAATTTGGAACTCAAAATTTAAAAAAAATAATGCTTTTTAAAAATTTATTTATTTTGTTTTAAATAGTATTTTTCCCAATTACACATCAAGAAAATTTTTAGCATTATTTTTTACAAGATTTTTTCTTTTTTTGTTTTTTTTGTATTATTTTTTTATTAATAAATTTATTTATTTTCAGCTTTCAACATTTACTTCCACAAGATTTTGAGTTCCAAATTTTCACCCCATCTCACCCCTCCCCCGACCCCAAGATGGCATGCATTCTGAATACCCCTTCCCCTAGTTGGCCTTCCCTTCTATCTCTCCCCCCGCCTTCTCTTATCCCCTTCCCCTTCTATTTTCCTGGAGGGCAGGATAGATTTCTGTACCCCATTTCCTGTATTTCTTATTTCCTAGTTGCATGTGAAAACAATTTTTTAAACATGTGTTTTTAAAACTTTGGGTTCCAAATTTTCTCCCTTCCTCCCTCCCCACCCAACCTCATTGAAAAGGCAAGCAACTCAATATAGGTTATACATGTGCAGTTATGCAAAACACTTCCACAGTAGACATGCTGTGAAAAACTAACTCTATTTCCCTTAATCCCATTCTGCCCCCCCCATTTATTCTATTCTTTCTTTTGACCCTGTCCCTCCTCAGAAGTATTTGCTTCTGATTACCCCCTTTCCCAATCTGTCCTCCTCTCTATCATCCCCCTACTCTCTTGTCCCCTCTCCCCCACTATTTTCCTGTAGGGTAAGACAGATTTCCATACCCAACTGAGTGTGTATGTTATTCCCTCCTTAAGTCAAATCCTATGAGAATAAGATTCACTCATTCCCTCTCACCTTCCCCCGTTTCCCCTCCACTGTAAGAGCCTTTTCTTTTCTGTTGTTTTTTTTTTGTGAGATAATTTACCCCATTCTACCTCTCCCTTTCTCTTTCTCCTAGTATAATCCTCTCTCACCCCTTAATTTTATTCTCCAGATATGACCCCTTCATCTTCAACTCACCCTGTGCCCTCTATCTATCTATCTATATACATACATATAATGCTTTCCCTCCAACTACCCTAATACTGACAAAGGTCTCATGAGTTAACAAATATCATCTTTCCATGCAGGAATGTGAACAGTTCAACCTTAGTAAGTCTCTTATGATTTCTCTTTCCTGTTTACTTCTTCATGTTCCACTTGAGTCTTGTACTTGAAAGTCAAATTTTCTATTCAGCTCTGGTCTTTTCATCAAGAATGCTTGAAAGTCCTCTGTTTCACTGAATGACCATTTTTTCCCCTGAAGGATTATACTCAGTTTTGCTGGGCAGGTCATTCTTGGTTGTAGTCCCATCTCCTTTGCCCTCTGGAATATTATATTCCATGCCCTGCAGTCCCTTAATGTGGAAACTGCTAAATCTTGTGTTACCCTGATTGTGTTTCCACAATACTTAAATTGTTTCTTTCTAACTGCTTGTAATATTTTTTCCTTGACCTGGGAACTCTGCAATTTGGCTACAATATTCCTAGGAGTTTTCCTTTGGGGATCTCTTTCAGGAGGACATCGATGGATTCTTTCAATTTCTACTTTGCCCTCTGGTTCTAAAATATCAGGGCAGTTTTCCTTGATAATTTCTTGAAAGATGATGTCCAGGCTCTTTTTTTGATCATGGCTTTTAGATAGTCCAATAATTTTTAAATTCTCTCTCCTGGATCTATTTAATTCTCTCTCCTGGATCTATTTTACAAGATTTTGAGTTACAAATTTTTATTCCTCTCTCCCTCCTCTCCCCTCTTTGAAAATGGTAGGCAGTTTGATATAGTTTATACATGTGCCATCACGTAAAACATATGTTCATATTCATCACAGTTGTGGAAGAAGAAACAGACCAAAAGGAAAAAAAAAACACCAGAAAGAATAAAGTAAGTGAAAAAATATGCTGTGATCTGCATCCAGAGTCCATCAGTTCTTTGTCTGGATATAGATAGCATTTTCCTTTATAAGTCCTTTGTACTTGTTTTGGATCAGTGTGTTGCTAAGAAGAACTGAGTAACTGAGTTGATCATCACACAATATTGCTGATAATGTGTACAACATTTTCCTGGTTCTGCTCATTTCACTTTGTATCAGTTTGCACAAGTCTTTCTGGGTTTTTCTGAAATCTCCCTGTTCATTTCTTATTGCACAACAGTATTCCATTACATTTATATACCACAGTTTGTTCAGTCATTCCCCAATTGATGAGCATCCCCTCAATTTTCAACCTTTTGCCACCACAAATAGGGCTTCTATAAATATTATTGCACATGTAAGTCCTTTTCCCTTTAATATAATCTTTTTGGGATACAGACCTAGTAGTAGTATTGCTGGATCAAAGGGTATACACAGTTTTAGAGTCCTTTTGGCATAGTTCCAAATTGCTCTCCAGAATGGCTGGATCAGTTCACAACTCTACCAACAATGCATTAGTGTCCCAATTTTCCCATATCCTCTCCAACATTTATCATTTTTCCTTTTTGTCATATTAGCCAATCTGATTGGTGTGAGGTGGTATTTCAGAGTTGTTTTAATTTGCATTAAAAAAGTAGTATTAAAAATAAATAAACAATAAAATTTGGGGGAAAATAATGCAGATCTATTAACATGGAGCATCCCAAAAGAAGCATGGGGTGTTGAGGGTCCAAGTCAGGGAAGCAGAAAGAAGAGGAAGCACATGTAATAATGATGTCTGTTACTGTCAGAATCTGCCCTGGCATATTATAAAGGGGTAAGATGGGTCAGAGCTATTAAATGAAAATACATTTGGGGTGATGAGTCAGGGGTGGGGGGTGGGGGTCTGTGGTTTCATGACCAACCACTGCTGTATTCCAGTGACTTGCAAAAATAAATCATAGAAATTGGACTTGTGTGTGTGAGAGACAGGTAATTAGGGTTAAGTGACCAGCCCAGGGGCATACAGGGGCAAACTAGTAAGTATCTGAGGCCAGATTTGAATTCAGGTCCTCCTCACTCCAGGGCCAATGCTCTGTCCACTGTGGCACCTAGCTGCCCTAGAATTTGGAGTTTTGAGGTACTGAAAAGTCAAGGTATTTGAAGGGGATGGAGGGGATGGAGAAGAAGAATGGATTCCCAGGCTAGGTGGCATCTTGGGGGTAGGGCACATGTCCTTGGTGAGTAGGCCAGATCTTAGAGAGAACTGTGATGGTCATGAGACCTTAAGAAATTGTAGCCAGTGGGTAAGAGGTAGTAGTTGCTAGTCTATAGGCATGCTCTGGTGGGGAAGGAAGCATGCCTACCAGTCCAAGCAAAACTCTGATTACTGGTTAAAGAAGAAAAATTTAATCCATCCTCTTTTGATGTTGCACTAAGAGTTAACTTCCTTTGCCCACCTCCCACAATAAACATACTCAGCCACATATACTGGGTCACTCAATCTCACATGCCTAGCTCCATATACACACATAATCACATTATCTCACATTTGCACAGTGACACAAATCCCACTTATACAATCACAAACCCACGTGGGGTTCCCTGTTTTACCTGGCCAGGGTGAGATCATGTTTGTGATACTCAAGAGCCTTTGAGTACTCTTTCAAGTAGAAGTAGGCATTCCCCAGCTGGCTGTAGATGGCACTCAGTGTCTTCAGATCCTCAGTCCCCACCTGGACAGCAGCTTCGAAGAAGGCAGCCCCAGCTTTGAAATCTCCAGCTTTACAGAGCCTCTCACCTTCCAGGGCCAGTTCTAGGCAGGAGGCCTCCATCCTGGGGAAACCAAGGAAAAGGAAACTGAGGAAAGCTGTAGCGGGGATTACATAAATAGGGTTTTGGCATAGAGACCTGGCCAACTACTCAGAGACTGGGCATAGAGTTCCCCAGGGACTGAAACATCAACCCAGCAGCAATGGCCCCTATGGGATTAGGGTAACAATCCTTTTGGCCCAGGATCTGGTTTCTGGTACTCAATAAATTCTACTGGCTGTCTGTTACCTCCAGCGTCAGATATAAAAATCCAGTGTTTGGCATTTAAAGCTCTTCAACAACCTGGATCCTTCTTACCTTTTCAGCCTTTTTATACTTTTACTCCCACCACATATTTTACAATCCATACTAGCCTATAAGCCATACTCGCCTACCTGCAGTTTCTCACACAAGTTGGTCCATCTCCCAGACCTGCATCTTTGCAGTGGCCATTTCCCATACCTGGAAGGATCTCCCTCCTCAATTCTGCTTTTTGGTTTCCCTGGTTTCCTTCATGACTGATTTCAAAGCCCATTTTCTTTGCCAGCCATCTCTCTCACTCTCTCTCTCTCTCTCTCTCTCTCTCTCTCTCTCTCTCTCTCAGCTCTCCACACCACCTTCTCCCCCAGCTCTCTTAGTTGAAGATGTGGCCTCTTACTTTACTGAAGAAATTGAGACCATATGACATGAGCTCTGTTGTCTCCCATTTTCTTCATCTCAAATCCCGCTGACATCAGTTCCCACTCTTTTCCTTTCTCCTAACCTTCTCCTTGCCAAAGCCAACCACTCTACATGTGCACTTGATCCCCATCCCCTTTAGTTAGTCTTCAGCAGATTCCAGCCCCAATCAGCCCCATTTCTCAAATCTTCCACCACTCCCTTTCAACCGGTTTCTTCCTTACTACACCTTCAAACATGCCTAAGTTTCCACCAGTCTTAAAAACAAAATAAAATAAAACAAAAAACCTTCACTACATGCGGCTAACATGTTATATCACTCCTCCCTTTCCTTATCAATCTCCTTGAAAAAGCTATCTATACTGTCTGCCTCCACTTTCTCTCCTTCCACTAATTTCTCAATCTTTTACAATCTGGCTTCTGACCCAATCCCTCTAATTGAAATTGCTCTCTCCAAAGTTACTAATGAGCTCTAATTTGTCGAATCTAATGGTTTTATTTTAGTCGTAATCCTTTTCAATTTCTAGGCTACATTTAATGTTAGTGAACACCCGTCTCTTCTCAGATACTCTCTTCTCTTGGTTTTTGTGACACTACTCTCTACTGGCTCACTGCCTGCCTATCTCAATGTGCTTTCTCAATGTCCCTTTTGCTGGCTCATCATCTACTCCCACCTTCTAACTGTGGGTGCTACTCAAGATTCTGTCCTGAGCCTTCTTCCTTTCTTTATATACTCTCTCAGTAATCTCATCAGTTCCCCTGGGTTTAACTACCATCTCTATGCAAATAACTTCCAGCTCTACATATTCACTCCCAGTATCTCCCCTGAGCTTTAGTTGGGAACCAGATGTTGGCAACTGGTCCTATCACTTCCTGGAGAATAGAGGGAGAAGAAATGGAAGCTGTGTCAGATTTTATATTCTTGGGCTCAAAGATCATTGTGGACAGGGACTGCAGTCATGAAATTAAAAGACCTTTGCTCCTTAGAACGAAAGGTATGGCAAATCTGTATAGCATATTAAAAAGCAGACATTGGGGCAGCTAGGTGGCACAGCGGATAGAGCACGTCCCTGGGGTTAGGAGGAATTGAGTTCAAATCCGGCCTCAGACACATAATACTCACTAGCTGTGTGACCCTAGGCAAATCACTTAACCCCAATTGCCTCACCAAAAACAAACAAACAAAAAAAAACCAGCCATCACTTTTCTGACAAAGGTCCATATAGCCAAAGCTATGATTATTTTTCCAGTAGCAATGTATCGCTGTGAGAATGGGACTATAGGAAAATTGAGCACTATAGAATCAACACTTTCATATTGTGGTGCTGGAGACTTCTGAGAGTCTCTTGGGCAGCAGGGACATCAAATCATTCAATACTTAAAGAAATTAATTCAAATTCTTCATTGGAAGGTCAAACACTAAAGCTGAAATTTAAATACTTTGGCCACATAATGAGAAGACTGGATTTGTTGGAAAGGACCTTAATGTTGGGAAATATCGAAGCAAAAGGAAAAGAGGATAGCAGAGGAAGAGTTGGATAGTGTCATGGAAGTAATGGACATGAGCTTGGACAGACTTGTGGAGATAGTGGAGGATTGAAGGGCCTGGCGTGCTATGGTCCTGGCATTATGAAGAGTTGGACAAGAGTGAATGACCGAACCAACACAAACACCAACTGCCTATTGGAGATTTCAAACTTGATGAGCCAGAAACATCTTAAACACATTATGTCTAAAACTAAACCCATTATCAAACTTCCCTATTTTTTTTTTTATTTTCACATTAGTCAAGTTGTAAGGAAAAATTAGAACCAATAGGAGGAACTACAAGAAAGAGGAAACAAAACAAAAGAGAAGAAAAAAAAAGCAAATAGTATGCTTTGATCTGCATTCAAATTCCATAGTTCTTTCTCTGGATGTGGATAGCATTTTCTATCATGAGACTTTTGGAGTTGTCTTAGATCCTTGCATTGCTGAGAAGACCTAAGTCTATCAAAGTTAGTCATTGCACAACGTGGCTGTTACTGTGTACAATGTATTCCTGGTTCTGCTCACTTCACTTAGCATCAGACCATACAAGTCTTTCCAGGTTTTTCTGAAGTCTGCCAGCTCATCATTTCTTACAGCACAATAGTATTCCATTACATTCATATACCACAACTTGTTCAGCCATTCCCCAGTTGATGGGCATCCCCTCAATTTCCAATTTTTTGTCTCCACAGAAAGAGCTGCTATCAATATTTTTGTAGATGTGGGTCCTTTTCCCATTTGTATGATCTCTTTGGGATACAGCCCTAGAAATGCTACTGCTGGGTCAAAGGGTATGCACATTTTTATAGCCCTCTGGGCATACAAACTTTCCTATTTCTATCAAAGGCACCCAAGTGATAGGTAAAGAGACCTGGGAAAGACCTTAGCTTAAAAAGGCCAAGGTCTGCCACTGCATCCAGGGCCATCTCCAGTCGTCCTCATATCTTGCCACTGAACCCAGAAGGCTCTGGAGGAAAGAATGAGGCTGGTGACTTTGCATAGCCCTCCCTCACTTAAATCCAATTCACTTGCATGTCATAGCATCACCTCCCTGATGCCATGGCCCTCTTCGAGAACAAAGGACAAACAATAACCACAATCTTTCTAGTATCTCAACTTTGTAGCCTTGGCATTATCTTCTATTCTTCCTTCATCTGAATATGAACTCCTTGATAGCACGGCCCATATATGTGCCTTTCTTTGTATCCATATTGCTTAGAATATGGAACACGTGTTTAATAATGCCTGTTTATTGATTCACTGACTGCTTCTGATTACCTATATGCCCACTGGCGAATCACATCCTTCAATGGAACTAAATCTCCTTCTTTACAATATGAGGAGGGTGGGCTAGATGGTCTCTGTGGTTTATTCCAGCTCCAAATGCATAGTCCATCAATGACCTATGTGACCTTTAAAGCCTCTTCTAGCTCTACATCTATAATGTTAGGTACTAAGGGCCTGTTTTGGGGGGAGGCCTCCCTGATGCTGCCTCGCCTCAAGGACTCTCAGCGTCCTTCAGTGACCTGCTGTTGATCCCTTTCTCCAAGGGATTTACCCAGACCTGCTGGGGACCTATCTGTACTCTCATTGTGTTTTACCTCTGGGGAAAAGCATTCCAAATGGTTGTTTGTTTACGTGTGATGTAGGTCAACCATGGACTGATTCTAAAAGTAGCTCCCCCAAGGGCCAAGGGGAACACTCTCATTCTAGCTTTGGGAGGTTCAGGCAATAAGTCTATGATTCCCCATCCCCATTTACCTTGAGAGCTAGTGCATACTGATGTCCTCCTCCCCAACCCAATCATGTACAACAGCAGCTAGATACAAACAGGAGGTGGGGGGTGGAATCCATTGACTCCTCATTGCCAGTAACTCCCAGCAGGCTGCAGAATGAAGTCATGTTTCCAAGCACAGAAACTTTCCTGGCTTCCTTGGGCAGTTATGGTTGGGCAAGGTAGGGCCACCAGAGAAGGAATGGAAAAAGTATTTATTAAGCACTTAAAACATTTAATTATTATTTAATTTAAATTAATAAATTAAATATTTATTAACTTCTATGTGTTAGGTACTGTCCTAAGTGCTTTATAATTATTATCTCACTTTATCTTTACAATAACCCTGGGATGTGGGTGCTATTGTTATCTCATTTTAACATTTGTGGAAACTGAGGCAAACAGAGGTTAAATGATTTGCTCAAGGTCATAAAGCTAGTAAATGTGTGAAGCTGGATTTGACCTCAGGGCTTCCTGACTAAAGTCCCAGCATTCTATCCACTGTACCACTTAGCTCAGTATGGCCCCAGGGAGAGCAGAGGCATGGGGGTTGAAAAAAGATGACACACACAAAATGCTACCTCTTATTCTTTTATTTTTTCTGGATAGGACTCATGATTCCATTGATATAATGAACTTCTTTTATCCTGGTAACCCTGATAACTTATGGCCTTGAGTTGTATGAGGATACTAATGTTAAGATGCTAACGTTAAGTGATTTGCCCACAATTACAGCCAGTTTACGTCAGAGACAGGATTTGAACCCACGTCTTCCTAACTCTGAGGTTAGCTCATTATTCACTACACTATGATGTCTCTCTTGCAAAAGAGCCTCCAGGACAGGCAAGTATAGAGTTGCATGCAGCTGCATTCTTGTAATGGAAGTTTTGTGTTTTTGGCAGCCTGAACAGTGCTTTGCATGGAGTTGGTATTTAATAAAGGTTCACTGAGCTTGAATTCAGCACAGTGCTCTGTATCAAGCCTCAGTTGAATCTCCTTTTTCCTTGTAAAGAACCCACAGACCTTGGCCTTATCTGTCTTT